TTTTTAAACATAAATTTAGAATCATAATACTTTTCTTTCAAATTATATTTTGATACATTCATCAATTTTAATTGTGTACAATCATTAAATATTAATAATAATTCCATTATAAATCTATTAAATAATTCTTGACATTGTTTTTCTGGTTTTTTCAAGAATTGTAAAACATTATTTAAATAATTTTCAATACACAACTGTACATTATTATTAAAATGTTCATTATCTATTAATAGATAATTAACGTCAAATTCACGTATATTTTTCTTTACACAAAAATTATAAAAATCATGAGAACATGAAAATTTTCGAGTTAATATTCGTTAATCCATTGTTCGCGTACGATTTTTAATCGTTTTGTTGCTTCCACTTCTTCAATTTGTTTCCGTTTTGTTGCTTCTTCTTCCTCGATTTGTTTTTGTTTTGTTGCTTCCTCAATTTGTTTTTGCTTTGTTGCTTCTTCTTCCTCAATTTGTATTTGTTTTGTTGCTTCTTTCATTTCATTTATTATTCTTTTGGTTTTATTTTTTCGAATAAGTAATTTTAATTTTAAATTTCTTAATAATTTATTTTGATTGTAACGCATACGCATATTTGTTATATTTATCTTTTTATCTAGAAATAAGAAAGAACATATGAAATAGAATTAAGATTCGATTGTGTTTGTTTAAGATTTGTTTTTTCTTTGTAAAAATTTCATTTCGTCTTAAATACGAAAAGTTCAAAGAGCATTTTCACTATTCGATTTGTCTTTTAAAATAAAAGTAAAATATTCAACAAATAAGAATAGTAAACTATAATTATTCTCAAACACATGTCGAATTTTTGAAAATAATCAAAATGAAAGAGATAGTTAATATTAGTTTTAAGTCGAGTTTTTCGTCATTTTGATCTTCAATTCGTCTGATCGACTTTAATAATTCAAGAAAATAGTAGACTTATTATGAATCGAAGAAATATACTAAGAGATATTAAAAACGAAGTTTAAATTTTTGAAAAAAATTTTCAACTATTTTGAAAATCTTTCTCGAAATAAGAATGACTAAAGCATATTTTTAAATATAAAAAATAGTATAATTTTTCAGTTTTGTACAGATAAACATTGATATTCAATCTGTCAAGTATGATAAATCTTCCTGGATTAATTTAAAAACGGTCTATTGAATTTATCTATACGTACATATATAGATAATATTGAGATTTACTTCTGTATATTTAATCTATTTCTACTAAAGACTAAAATAACCAAAAAACAAAATTTAAGTCAACTTATTTTTTACCATTTTCTCTATGATATAATTAAAAGGCTATTGACTCGATTTAAATAATATTATAGATTGTATGAAAAATTGATTATGTCATATATATTACATTCATGTAAGTCTTTCTCTCTTTATATACAGATTTTTTAGAATAAAAATTTATTTCCTATGTCACACAATAGGTTAAAAGGTGTTGTTAATGTTTCTCATTTTTTAAATGATTAAATTCGCTATAAAACGAAAACAAAATGAAGAAAACAAAAGAAATATTTATATTCTAAATATTTCTAAATACTCATTGATTTTCTAAAGTCGATCATTACCTGTAAAAGACGATTTTTTCCGAGAACAAATCTAAAATATCGAAGAATGAAGTGAAATTTTCATTCGCATTGCATTTCACTCATGGTTGCTAACAAGTATTTATTAAAAGATATAAAAAACAACTCATTTAAATAAAAATAAACATCACTTTAGCGCATAGTCAAGTGCTACGAAAAATTTAGCAAATTGGTTATTATGATATGATATTCATTGAAAGGTTTCACTTTTCTTTAGTTTTCGTCTATTATCATTAGATAACAGTTTTTGCATCTAACAATCAGATTTAGCAAGTAAATTAACTTTTAAAAATTAATACCTTCAATCATTCTATTGATTTCTTCATTATATTTTTCATTTTAACACAAACTTCTTGATTAGAAAACGTGAAACACTAAAATACATTTGAATCTATTTTTCGTAAAAAATAATAAAAACTATTTTGTCACTATAAAAGATCTATATACAAAGAAAAAAACACAGATTTGACAAGTATACTATATTATAAAATCGATTTCTCTTAGAAATTCTAAATCGACTTCATAAGGCTTCTGTCACATAAAAAAAAAGTTGAAAAAGGAAATATTTGTAAGAATTCAGCAAAAAATATTAATCAATAATTAAAGATCTTTTTAAAATTTAATCTAAACTTGCATAAGTTATGACGAATAAGACATGAAACCTGCTGAATTAGATCAATATTGAGTGAAATATTGAATAAACCGATTAGGCTTACTTGCTTTCGTTTTCTTTTTTTTCAATTTAAATGAATTTGATTGAAGAAAACATGTCTATTATATACGAATTGCGCTTTCGTATGTGTCTACATCTATGATTATCTTTGTCTTTTGTTTGATCAATATTCGACTAATCAAACAAATTTCGAATAAAGATGTCAGTTGACGGGCAGAAAATTAATATTGTTTTATTGAAATGTTTCGTCATCTTTATCAATAATTATATGTTAGTGAGTATACCATAGTTTTACTAATAATGAGACATTTAAAAACAAAACAAAAACCATGACTGATCAAAAGTCTTATATATTAGTATAATTCAGGGTTTCCAAATTTTCTGATTTGATCAGGAGCCTCCTGATAGTTCGAATTTTTCTCTTGATCAAAAAATCTCCTGAATTTAGAAGCTGATTTTGAAGATTTTCTCCTGATTTTTAATTCTTTTTTGCAGTTTCGATTTTCATGAAATATTGAACAATCTGAAAAAAGTGCAGCATAAAAGGAGAACCGTTGCAGTACTAAATAGATGCAACGACCCAAAATAGAAAATGCTACCGCTGCTTATTTTCTTTAAAAATGAGATAGTCAGTTTCAGAAACAGAAATTCTGTATAAAAAATCGAAATAATTGATCATTAAAATAACTTTCATAGGATTTACCAAATGTGGGGTGTGGGTGTGGGTGTGGGTGTGGGTGTGGGTAGGGGTGTGAATTTATTGTTATTGTTATTAATAACAATAACTTTTTTTTTGAAAAACTTTCAATTCGAACTGCTGCCTATCTCAACTATACAAATTCGCTTGATCTATGTTTAAGGAATGAATTTGCTGCGGCTATGACTATAACTGATCTCAAAATTTCAGAATTCGCATAGATCATATACAGGGTGGGCCAACAGTAACAGGATAAAAAGTTTTTACGGTTTTCTTTCTTTGTATATCGACAGTTACATCTCATATTTATACTACATATACTATGGAATACTAGTCAGAGGTGTGTCATGTGATCAGTCTCTAAGCATACCAACTGGTTCCAGACACATACATGTATAAATTGCTCGTATGTGACTACATGAAAAAATTCATATTTGTTGTGTTATATACGATTTTCATATTCTTGTCCGTTTATCGCATTTTGAAATATAAATTCGACCCAATTGAATTTCGTGTTCTTTTGGCCTAAATGAGTTCAAAATGTGATCAAATCGAATTTGTATGCCAGATTGGGATTAACAGGCAAGAATATGAAAATCGTATGTAACACAACAAACATGAAATTTTTCATGTAGTCACATACGAGCAGTTTATACATGTATGTGCTTGGAACCAGTTGCTATGCTTAGAGGTTGATCACACAACACATCTCTGACTCAAAGTTGTAACCAGTCTAGGAATTTTAGAGCGGTCCAGTTTGACTGGTGATCGGCTAGTCTAAAAAATAATTCCAGACCGGTAAAAATCGGCGAGTTTATGAAGTTTGTTCATATGATAAAAGTGATATTAGAGGCGAACTTTCACTCTAAATGCTTATAGATTTATACCTAGGAGAAAACAACTGATTTTTGAAACATTTTTATCAATTTTAACGGAAAATAATCAATGTAATAAAAAAATCAAAATATCACTCATTCGAAAAGGTCTAGTCTTGAGGGTTTTGGGCCTTTTTTTTAAATATTTTCTTATAATTTAAATGTATAACTAGAAGTTAATTTACAAAAAACACGTTTCACACGTTTAGAGGAAAAAGCTTTATCATGATAACTACAAAAAGACGATGTTTTCGATTTTCTCGGTAATATTGATTTCCCTCAAGTTTTTTTGTTTCTCTGAATTTTTTGATTCAATTGATATTTTTTGTTTGAAAATTGATAGAAAATAAAAGACAACAATTTGCTCTTAGTTTTTAATGGAAACATCCGATTAATAAGTTTAACCAATTTACTTGAAAATAGACCTGATTCTAGTTCTTTTTCATATGTATCAGTCTTATCTTTTCTGTAACACATATACTGCAGTGAGCTTTGTTCTTAATTCGTTTATAAGATTTCCAATAAGAAAACTGGGAGACAAACTAGGCTTGTGATGGATCGAGATCGTTGACCTAATTCAGTTCATTGAGCGAAATTTTAGACTAATCCAGTTTGACTAGTGACCAGCTGATTCAAAACATCTATTAGGTCGGTGGAAACTAGCACAATATGGTCCGCTTGTTGCATCATTATTAATTCGCTAATAGAGATGATTTCAGAAACAGTCATTTACGTTTTTCATCCCAGTTTTTACAGATCATCAGGAACGAATATCATGTTCTAGTTCTTCATATCTGTTTGGTTTCTCAAAGATAAATACCTGAGATATTTATAACCAGCTCGAAAAAAGTGTCATTTACAGATCAATTGATTGCCACATTTCAGATTTTGAATTTTATTCACTTAACCTTTACAAATAACACAACGCTTCTCTCTCAACGATGGCTCGAACCTAAATTTTATCTTCACAAAAAATCTATGAGATAAGTTTAACTGAACTAATATAGATTCGAATGCACTTTTCAGAAAATAAAGCGTATTTGGATTAAAGAAATGAAATCGATTGAGGAACAGAAGAAAAAAATGTATAGTTTTTGAAATAAAATAAGTTGGTTATTTTGATAAGGGCATAAAAACTTGCTATCAATAAGTTTTAGCTGAAAAATCTGTACATTCATAAAATATATTTTAATCAGTGAAAACCGGCTGATCCAACCGCTTCTACCTGTTCGGTCCGACCGAACCGGTTACAACTTGCTCTGACTAGTATCCTGTAGTATATGCAGTATAAATATGAGATGTAACTGCCGGTATTTAAAGAAAAAAAATCGAAAAAACTTTTTATCCTGTCACTTTTGTCCCACCCTGTATATAATCTATGCGAATTCTGAAATTTTGAGATCGGTTAATGTTATAGTCGTAGTAAATTCATTCCTTAAACATAGACCATAGAATTAGTATAGTTGAGATAGGCAGCAATTCGACTTGAAAGTTTTTCAAAAAAAAAGTTATTTGTTTTTTTTTGTTGTTAATAACAAATAACAAAAAAGTTATTGTTACTGTTATTAATAACAACCGAATAACAATAACTTCTCACCCGTAAGTGTGGATGTGTAGGGTGTGGGGTGTGGGTGTGGGTATGGGTGTGGATTATCATGTTCTCTATCCCTTAGTATACAACGACACTCACGCCCACACTCACACCTCACCTACACCCACATCCACACCCCATACCAACACCCAC